GGAGCTGGGAGCTGGCCTGTGCGAGAGGCGGACCGAGCGGTTGCCAAAGGCTTCCAGGGGGTGACTCACTTGGGGGAAACTGGCCGAGCCCTGGCCGGAGGGAGGTGCCGGGACGCTTCTGCCCCGTCTGCACTGCTGGTTTCTCTGGCAGCTCAGCCTGGGGTCGGCTGATGGCGGTTCCTGGGCGACCCGGTGCCAGCATCGGAGTCCGATCCACCTGGCGGCGTTCTAGGAGTGAAAGGGCTGTGGATGGGTTAGGTTTGTTTCTTACCGGAAGCTCGTGCCTTCCAAGATTCCCTTTCTGCAGGTGTAGCGCTTCTTTTAAACTGAGAATGCCACCTTCCCTGCGCCCAGCACCTCGCTTTTTGCGGTGGTTTTGAATTTCCCCACCCCGGGGTGCACACCGAGGCGGGAGGTTATGGGTAGGGACTAAGCTGGTGGCACAGATCCTCCTGGTGCCCGAGGTGACACACTCGAGTCTTCCCGCTGAGCTGTGTGCCATAGGACAGGATGGTCATTTCTTGTCGTGGGCTTTAAATCTGGACCAGCTTCGTGAATGAGAAAAGGTGTTTTCTTTAAGTTCTCTTTTGTAAAACAGTTCGTGAATTTCCAACTCTTGCGCTTCCCTATGTGGAAGATAGATGAGTGTAAATTCTTTGGGAGAGCAAGAAAGAGAGAGGAGCAAAACTTTACAGTCATGCCAAATCCTGAAGGTGTCACATCCATCCGCGTGATAACTTCTGCCACCATCTCATGGCTTTAAAGGTTGGATTCTTTCAGAACTTACGTTTGCAGAGCATAACTTGGAAAAAGGGAAAGCCAAATGCATTGATGAAAAATTTGAGTCAGTGTCTCTAAGAGACTTTCCTTTAACCTTGACTCTGCTCCTTCCACCCCATGATGCTGCAGGCCGCTGGTGGGTAAGGTGACAGACAAGCCTGGGAGAGACCAAGAGGAGTTTCTTACTTTCACTATCTAGTTTTAAAACGCCCTTATAAGTGATGTGAGGGTGACATGAATAATTCACATCTGTCACCATCTGTCCTCCTTTTTAATGTTATAAGGAGAGCAAAAACATAATTATTTTTCTTGAGATTTGTTAGGACTAGATCAGGTGGTGTTAAGAGAGGGAGCTGGCGTTTGGCATGGTTGTTTATGTGGAAGCATGAGCAAACTAGGTCATAATTATTTATTGTTTATTATTTTTAGAACAATTCTTACATACTAGTGTTATCTCCCTAATTGCAGACGTCTTACAGGGTATGTACTCTTGTATATCAGCTGGTTTTTTAAAAGCTGTTTAATTGACTTGTGTACTGGAAAATCAAGTTTTCCTTTTTTTGGAGATGGCTGGGAGCAACTTTCCTTGTAACACCCTCCCCCCTCTTGCCTTCAATAAGAGGGGTGGGGTGTGACTAAAGTTAGTAACATTTAAATAGGATTGCCAATGAATAATAAGAGGGAATGATAAAGAAAGGAAATTAAACTTTTATTTTAGTGTCCCACATCTGGGCTCTGTTTACCAATTGTCAGGCAACTCAGTACACTGTTACCATTTTTCTCAGCCATCTTATAACTTTCAGAATATTATAGCCTAGAAATGGCTTATTCTTAGGTACCGTCTAGGAATTAGCTGGCTTGATTGGGGGTTTAGTTTCCCATGAAGCATGACCCAAAAGTTAAAGTCTTACTCTTGTTCTTATGGAAAAATCTTAGAAGTGATCAGGTCGAACAGTTCTTTGCTGTGCGATAATTTCACACAGCTAGCTTACTTATTACAGTCTAGAAAAAGACAGCAATAATAACAACAGCTAATATCAACATGGCATTTTACAGCATATACATTTTCTCCATAACTTCCGTTCATTCATTGAATAACAAATAGGAAATCTTACTTAAAAGTGTTCTTGTCATTGTATCTTTCATAGGAATAGCACAATGCACCATTCTGCAAATGAATGTAGGCAAGTGTTTATTTTGAAACTGCGTATGCTTTGCACTGTGCTAGGAATGAGGGAGGTAAATTGGAGTGGGTATTGGTCCTCAAGGGACTTACAGTCTGGCAGGGGGACTAAGACATGTACATAAGTAACTGTGCACAAGATAGAAGTGACGGGTAAAGGATGGGACTGAGTGATAGGAAGAGCTGATTGGAGGAAGTGAAATTGGAGCTGGCCCCTGCAGGGTAGGCAGGATTTAAACGTATTCTAATATCTCCCTGCATACCACATTAAGAGTAAAAACACTTTCAGAGTGCATGACTAATTTCCCTTGTGACGAGTATTTACAACTTTAACTTTAACGTCACATGCTCTTCGAACTTGAGAGAAAGCACATATGACTGATCATGTCTGAAAACGGGTTCAAGTAGGAATATTCCTACTCTGTCTAGATTGGTGCCAGTGAGAGCTTTATATGTATTGCACATGCGCCAGTCAACGTTTATTTTTAAATTGCCACTGCATGTCATATATGCCGGTTGGTCGGTCGGAGAGATGTTCGGTCAGAGAGACCTACGGTCAGAGGGACATACCGTTGGTCACTTAGCCTTTTATATATATAGATTAGTTTCAGCTATATAGCATAGTGGTTAGATATTTATATAATTTACCAAGTGATGTCCTAATAATTCTAGTACCCACTGGCACCATACATAGTTATTGCAATATTATTGACTATATTCCCTATTCTGTACTTTACATTCCTGTGACTGTTTTGTAACTACCAATCTGTACTTCGCAATTCCTAAACTTTTTTTACCCATTCCCCCAACCCTCCTCCCAGCGGACAACCATGAGTTTGTTCTCTACATCTTCCAGTGTGTTTCTGTTTTATTCATTTATATTATTTTATTTTTATATAATGCTCTTTCACATGGTATTTGTCCTTCTCTGTCTAACTTGTTTCACTTAGCGTAATACCCCTATGACCATCCATGCTGTCACAAATGGGAAGATGTCATTCTTTTTCATGGCTGAGTAATATTCCATTGTATACATGTACCACATCTTTATCCACTCATCTATTGTTGGGCACTTAGGGCTAATGTATTATTTATTAGCTAGATTTATAGGACACTTTCCCTCCAGTGAACTCAGGAAAAGGTATAGGTGTGCAGTGTATATATAGTTCAGTGCTGGGGACAGTGACAGCAGGCCCTGCTGATGGTACAATCTTCCATGTTTGCACTCATGAAGTCTTGGATGAAGAAGCAACAGTAGCTAAAAATTTAGTTCTTCTATTGGTTTTTAGAGCCCATCATAATTATTTTCGATAAACTTTCAACAGAAGGAAAATGCCAAGTGCTAAGAAGACTTTTTTTACTTTTAGGTCACAGGAGGCTCCAGTGGCATTGGAAAGTGCATTGCTATCGAATGCTACAAACAAGGCGCATTCATAACTCTGGTTGCACGAAATGAGGTAAGTCTTCTAGGTATGTTATTAGTAACTCATTCAACTTTAAATTAATCAAAGAGGTTGTACCAAACGTCCTGGTGTCGACACCTGCGCTGGAAATCTCCAGTTTGAGGTACGCTTCCTGAACCACGGTTATTTCTCATATTCAGGGCAGTTTCTTGGTCAAAGTCAGACCAGCTCCACAAATATATATTTAGTGCCATCAACGATTAGGCAACACCATGGACGCTGCTGATTTTGGGGTGGGAGAGGCCAACAGGAAGTTAGGCAGTACACCTGGCCACAGGAAGCTTGGAGGGCCCTCTGCCCACTGGGGGTGCCGGCAGGAGCGTTGGTGGCACTGACAGGATATGTAGGTGTTTCTCATTTGCTTATGACATGATATACATCTCTAGTGAAACCAGACTGCACTGAGGAATCTCACTCCTCCCCAGCAATTGAGCAAAACACCTGTTTTTCTGTGTTCAGTTGATACAAGGTCTGTTGTTCTTGCCAAAGTTGCTTCCATGCCCTGTGAAGCAGTGCCACCCTGTTCACACAAACAGTGGGGGAGTCCCCCTTTATCCGTGGGGTGGGGGAAGTGACCAGGGTTGTATTGTTCACGCCATTGTTCTGTGCCCGGCATAGTTGGCTCACAGCGGGTGCTCAGACATCGTTGTTGAGTGAAGACGGGAAGGGGATGACAGAGGGGATGGGATGTCAGCGTGGCATCGGTGCCTGGGCACTGGGATGCCCTTATGCAAAGGGAGAGCAGGAGTACCGTGCCTGCTCGGATAGGGGGTGCACAGGTGAGCAGGCCTCAGTGGGAGTGGCCGGTCAGAGGGGCCTCTGGGGGAAACGTTTAAACAGTGATACAGAATTAGGCTTGGACATCCACTGTTTCTTTTTAAAATCAAGAAAGGCAGGATATACATAAAAGGTATACTGCTGACTTCTCTAACAGTGAATTTGCTTTGGCATAGATGCACCTTACAGGAATGGAAACACGACTTCAACAAAAAGGCATTTTGTGAGGTTTAAACATTGCCTGTATTTGACTCGAGGCAGATGGAAAGGGGGGCAGGGAGGCCCGCATTTTGGGTTCTCAGAAGTCATTGTGTGGTCCTTGTGTGCCTGGAGGTGAACGAGGAGCAGACGGGCTTTCTGGCCTCCAGAAGTCCTTTATTTTCTGATGTAATATTTTATTCTGATTTTCGCAAAGTTGAGTTGTGCATATATTGATCCACAGAACAGTATTATTTTATTATAGACACATTCATGTTTAGAAAACAGGTGTGTCTTTCCAAAGGATTGCCTTCCCTTTTGTGCTTTTCTGCTGTCACGACGTATTTAACCCCTAGAGTGCCCGGGAGCGCGATCGCTCTCCTCCTGTCTTTCGCCAAAAGTGCCAGGAGCACTATCAAAGCTTTGAAATGGGGTCCAGTTCTAAGTCTGCTTTTATTAGTGATGATGATATGCAGGGAGCCGGTCCATCCTTGCTGTTTCAAGGGACTTGGCATATATGGCATACTGTTCTTAATATGTTTGCTCACCTTCTTGGCGCTATGTGTTTTAACCAAGGTCACCGCTCCGAGAAAGGTTGTTTCCCCAGGTAGGGATTTTTCCCTGAAGTTAGGGAGGGAATAAAACCCCTTAACTAAGTGCTAGGCAGGTAGTTAATCACAGGAAAAACAAAACCTAAATACTGGCTAGAGTGGACTTATAGTCCTGAGGTCAGGGAGAGGCCTCCCGGCCCCTGTTA